TTTGACACAATAGTACAAGCCTTGATTGCTGATGTCAACTCAAAACATCTTTCATGCTCTATTACTTCTGCTCAAGCCACGGTCCGTGTGCTTACCCAGCGCCTGGTTCCACCCTCACCATTGCCCTGCAGGTGGAATTGGTGACCACATTCCACAGATAAGGAGGTTGCATCCTGGTGGGGCTGGACACCTGTCCTCAGCTTCCTCTGGACAAAGCCACAGAACCAGAGCGGGAAGAGAGCACTACCACAGCTCAGGGCCTTGCTGTGGGCCAGGCTTTCTTCAGGGAATCTAGGGTCCTAATAAACTTCTTTAAAGGAGCCAGCACTGTGGCGCAGCAGGTGAAGCTGCCACCTGCAGTGCCAGCATCCCATATGGGCCCTGATTTGAGTCCCAGCTGCTCCACTTCAATCCAGCTCCCTGCTAATGTGCCTGAGAGAACAGTAGATGATGTACCAAATGCTTGGGCTTCTGCACCCATGTGGGAGACCTAGAAGAAGCTTCTGGCTCCCGGCTTCAGATCGCCTCAGCTCCAGCCTTTTGTGGCCATTTGAAGAGTGAACCAGAGGATGGAAGACCTTTCTCTCTGTCTCTCCCTCTCTCTGCCTCTGCCTGTATTTCTGCCATTCAAATAAATAAATCTTAAAAAAAAAAAAAAACACACACACACACACACACACAACTCTCTAAAGGGGCAGAGGCATAAACTACTGTTCTGGATAGCAGTTGCACTGACCACTTTTGCAGAAATACCTGATATGTATTTAGCAAAGCTCAGAACTCTATTGTGACAAGTATACACAAGGTGAAAGAGAAAATACGACACACCTGGACAACTTCATGTTTTCCTGTTCACATAAAGTGACCAAACGGGGGCTGGTGCTGTAGCGCAGCAGGTAAAGCCAGCTTCTGCAGTGCCAGCATCCCATATGGGCACCAGTCCAAGTTCTGGCCACTCCACTTCTGATCCAGCTCCCTGCTAAGTGCCTGGGAAAAGCAGTGGAGGATGGCCAAGTGTTTAGGCCCCTGTCACCCATGTAGCAGACCCAGAAGCTCCTGGCTCCTGGCTTCAGCCTGGCCTAGCCCTGGCCATTGTGGCCATTTGGGAAGTGAACCAGCAGAAGGAAGATCTCTGTCTCTCTCTTGTCTCTCCCTCTCCGTAATTCTGACTTATAACTAAATAAATAAATTTTTTTAAAAAACGAGCAAATAAAGTGACCAAGTATGTGTGGGTTCAGTCAACACTCTTGTGGTTAAAGCTGAAAGCTTCAATGTATCGAGCTTTTAATCAAATGTTCCCAGCACCAAGAAGCATTGCAGTCTTTATGATAAGAATGCATACACCTTCCCTAGTAGCTGGGCTTATTTTTCCTGATGTGCAGGACCTAGAGTACCCCTAGGAGATGTTCAATATTAAATGGCTTGTGTGGGTAAGCCCTAAACAGCTAGCATTTGTATTATTAGTTGCCTCCTCAAAGATACCATCGACATTCTCTTGGTGTATGAGGTAATTGACATTGTTCAGGGAAATTGTTGGAGGCCACTCTGAGGAGCCATCGTCGGACACAGGGCCCAAGTTGGCGGAGCCAAGTCCTGCAGGTGCTTTGCAGCCACCAGGAGGCAAGCAGAGGTGCACAGCCCTGCCCGCCAGGAGCCAAATCTACTGGAAATGGAGGAGGGAAGGAGTCCGGCCATACGCTGAGCAGATCCTTAGCCAGGCTCTGGAGGACACCCTGATGTCAGGAAGACAGAGGGTGCTGTGAAATCTTCCAGCCCCAGATTCCGAGGGAGGTAAATGCTGCCCCTCCTGGCAGCCAGGGGAGTGGGCTCCTTGGCAAATGGCTGATTTACCTTTCTCATTTCACTTTGCAGTTAGCCTACACTCTGCAGCTAGCAAACCAGATGTGCGGGACGATCTAACTCCAGGACAGCACACAGAGAGAGAGCTGGCGACTTCCTCGTTAGCAGGCGATGTTACAGACACCAGGGCCGGGGTTTCCTCTCCCAGCCGCAGCAATGGGAGTCTTGTTCTGTTTAAAAGCGGGCAAGCTTCCCAACGTGGCCAAGGGAGAGAAGGCCACCCTCCTCCCATGGAAAACTCTGCCAGAACCTTCTCCTCCCCCCGCACCTGCATCACTTCTTATCAGAAAGAGCCACGAGGTGGGGCCAGCTCCACGCCACTCTTCCTTGTGCTTAGGATCCGCTCGGGAAATCTGCATGTGCTTTTCTTCGAAAGAAGATGAATAATAAATTTAATTAGCTCAGTGCTTTTCTTGAAACGCATCTGAAAGCAGATGACAGATCTCCATAATCAAACTACCGCCCATGTCTGAATTCTACTCTGTGTTCTCAAAAGGGGAATGCACTGGTGTGACCGCAGTTGCTTATAAATACACACGGCTATTTTTATCCTATTTTCCTTGCTGGATGTGGCTTTTGCCTGTATGTAAACTAGGGAGAAAAAGCTGCCTCTGTGAGGGAAAATCACGACTTACTGTTGGTGTGCCCACTAATGGTATAGAAAGAACTGACTCGTGTACTGTGAGCACTGCGGCAGGATTCCACTGACCCAGTGCACCGAGCATTTTCACATCTTCTAACTTCGATTAACGGACTTTACCGTGTAATCCTCTGAAACAACTGAAAACTTCCAGAAATATTTTAAGGATGGTTTGAACACAGTGTCCTACCACTTGAAATACAGTGATGGGGGTGGTGCCGTGCCATAGCCGGTAAAGCTGCTGTGGTGCCGCATCCCATATGGGCGCTGGTTCCATACCCAGCTACTCCACTTCTGATCCAGCTCCCAAAGAATGGCCTCAGAGGGCAGTGCAGGACGGCCCAGGCGCTTGGGCCCCTGCACCCACACGGATGAAGCTTCCGACTCCTGGCTTCGGCCTGGCCCAGCCCCAGCTGTTGTGGCCACTGGGGGAGTGAGACAGTGGCTGGAAGATCTCGATCCCTCTCCCTCTCTGTCTCTCCCTCTCTCTATAACTGTGCCTTTCAAATGAATAAAAATAAATCTTCAAAAAATAAGAAATACAGTGTTTCAGATCCAGAATCTCATTAAAAAGTTAACTTCACCCATTTGGTTAACTGTTGAGATAGCTTGACTTCCTCTCACAGTTCCTGAGATTATTTGCTCTCCATGCTGTATTACCGAGTGGGTACTCTGTGCCAGGTCCCAGGGACACGAGAGTGCACAGGTGTCATCCCAACTCGGAGTCAGCGAACAGGAGATCAGAGGGGCTCCGTGACCCACAGAGGGAGGGCCAGGCACTCTTCCAGGGGTACAGCAGGGCCTGAGGATAAAGCAGAAACCCAGCATGGAGGGACAGAGAGGGAAGCCCTCCGGGACGACCTGAGACTGCTACTGTGCTGGTGAAGGTGGGTGTTTAACAGCCTCCACGGGAGGTGGTTTCTAACGGCGCAGTCGTGAGTTGTGGGCTACGCCTTCACTTTCTGAAGAGACTTTGACACTGCGACAAACACGTCAAATAAGAGCGAGGAGACTGTTAATAGAGGAAGGCAGGGAAGAGTAATTCTAGAAGGTAAACACACGACTCAACAAATCTTAGTGGGCAGTTAGCGTTTTCATGGGCTTATAATAAATAAATTTTATATATGTAAATACATATATGCATATACATTATTTAAAGTATGTTTAAATAATAAATATTATGCAAAGCATAATTATAAAATATATATTTATTATAAAATGTCATCTACTTTATATTTATGTAAATTTGCATTATATATTTATAAAGAACATATAAAATACATATTTCATAACATTTTATTTATATACATTTATATTGTTTATAAAATATGTTATTAAAATGTGTCACTTATATAAAACATAAAGTATATTTAACACATAAATTACATATTTTAATATATCATAAGTGTAAATCTCTTACAAACTACAATGACACACTAAGCTTAATAAACAGGTAAATAAATACACAACAGCTGGGTGTGCTGCACGTGGCACCTCCTCTGTGCCCGACCATGTCCTGGCCACGAGGGAGGCAGAGGCGGCCGTGGCACAGGAAACTCCCATTCTCGGGGTCTGGACAGCAAACAAATGCAAGGAAAAGAGCGTGCTGTGTGGACAGAGGGGCGGGGTCGTCCCAGCCCCAGTTCCAGCAGGCAGTGGGTGTGTTTGTGTCCCCAGGGTCAGCTCGCCCCCAAAGCCCACCCGTGCGACGCGTGCGGGGCACCAACAGCGTCCACGGCAACCACACTTCTACGTGAATGGCTCGCACAGCACAAGGAGGCTTTCCCAGAGACGGGCAGCGAACCACCCACATGGTACAGAGTGAAGATTCTACAAAGAAACCACCTGGCTCATAGCTCCCAGCTGGGCTGCTTGGGCCCCAAATCCCTCACCTGTCAACCACCCCAGCCCACGGAGCTGCTCTCGCCAGTCATGTAGAAGAGCAGCAAGTGCACCCCATGCTCCCATCCTCACCACCAGGACATCGGCCAGCCTGCTGCCAGCTGGCCAGCGCGGCACACAGCAAGCCAAGCCTCAAAGACAAGTCAGAAAACCACACTCCCCTGGACTTGCAGGATGTGCTACGACACGTCCAAGATTATAAAAAACTAGAAGAAACAAGTCGGGAAGTAAAAAAGTACGGAAGGCCAGCGCCGCGGCTCACTAGGCTAATCCTCCGCCTAGCGGCGCCGGCACACCGGGTTCTAGTCCCGGTCGGGGCGCCAGATTCTGTCCCGGTTGCCCCTCTTCCAGGCCAGCTCTCTGCTGTGGCCAGGGAGTGCAGTGGAGGATGGCCCAGGTGCTTGGGCCCTGCACCCCATGGGAGACCAGGAAAAGCACCTGGCTCCTGGCTCCTGCCATCGGATCAGCGCGGTGCGCCGGCTGCAGCGCATCGACCGCGGCGGCCATTGGAGGGTGAACCAACGGCAAAGGAAGACCTTTCTCTCTGTCTCTCTCTCTCACTGTCCACTCTGCCTGTCAAAAAAAGTACGGAAAAGCAGGCAGAAAAGAGAGGGAGAGAGCCCCCCACCAGTAGGGCAGGACGCTTATCCCGGGCAGACGCCGAGCCCTCCTTCCAGAGCTTGACTCGAGGCTGGGCGCTCCTTCCAGGGCTGCGCCGGCCGCTCCCTCCCGGCAGGGGGCAGGGGGGTCCCGTTCGTCTTGGTGGGGACAGCACAGCTGGCCACTTCGTACTTCCCTCCGTGCTGCAGCGTTTCAGGAGGACTTAGGCCGGCCCTGTGCAACCAGCCCCTGTTTGGTGGTGGTTTGCTTTGATCCTCTTTCCTTCTGTGCATTTTCCTTATGTGGCCTGAGCACCTGGCAGACACAGCTGCTCGCTCAGGGGCGTCTTCACTTGGCCGGCTGTCCCGTTCAAATCACTGCCACGGCGTTCAGTTCTTCCTCTTCCTGGAGACTGGGAAGGCTTCCGGGGAGATGATGCTTGACTTGGGTCTCAAGAGGCGAGAGGCAAGGGCACAGGCAGAATGCACAAGTTCAGCAGGGGCCAGCTGCAGCGTCTAAGACCAGTGTTCCCCGACAAGTGGACACCACTGCCACAGGGGTCATCTTGTGCTGCAGTTGCCAATGCAAGTAACCGTTCTCCCCTCACCCAGACTCATAGGATGAAGCGTGTGTCCCACGGGAATGAAGAGAGCAGGGTTCAGTGTGGAAGAAATAAAACTGGAATCCGATCGCTCCAAGCTAAGTCTCGTGTCCGTGCAGGAAGAGGGGCATCCAGGTCAGAACCCACAGCTCTAACAACAGTGGCCGGGGAGGTTCTGCACAGAGACAGCTGCAGACCCAGGCAGGCAAGCCCCCAGCAGAGGCTCCACCCTCTCCTCCCACCCCCTGGGAGCCTCACTTCCTGTGAGTGGCACATGGCAGCAAAGGCAGAGGAGGGGCAGCTGGCTCTCCCCTGCCACCCACCTATGCCCCCAAAGATCCTCTTGCACAGACAGCCCGGGGCAGGGACAGCCTGACGGTGCCCTGGTGTGGCCAGGACTCTGCTCCCCGCGAGGACTTAGGTGAGACATGAGCCTTTGGCACGTGGCTTCCCACGCACAGGGACTGGTGAGGTGCTGAGTGGCAGCCACAGCTGCCAGAAAGGAGTGGGGTGTGTTTTGCATGTTCTCAGACACACTGGCTCATACAGAGCTTATGTTAGGCCTTCCAGGAGCTGGGGTTCTGTGATTTTCCTGACTGTACTCAACACATCTGTGTGGTCTGTCACGGCCTGGGCATGGTTGTAGGTGCTGGCACAGCAGGAGTGGGGAAGGTTCTTCCTGCAGCTCCCGTCAGAGCAGATGTCAGGTACAGCATCACCCATAGGTGAACTGCAGGAGGTGTTGAAGACAGTAAGTACTAGAGTAAAAAGATATTGAAGCGAGGCCGCCTGCAGTGCCGGCATTCCATATGGGTGTAGGTTCGAGTCCCGGCTGCTCCACTTCTGATCCAGCTCTCTGCTGTGGCCTGGGAAGGCAGTAGAAGATGGCCGAAGTGCTTGGGCCTCTGAACTCATGTGGGAGACCCAGAGGAAACTCCTGGCTCCTGGCTTCAGATCACCACAACTCTGTCGCGGCAATCTGGGAAGGGAACCAGCAGATGGAAGACGTCTCTCTCTCTGCCTCCCACTCTCTGTAACTCTGTCTTTCAAATAAATAAATAAATCTTTTAAAAAAAGATAATAAAGCAGGGGCCGGCGTCGTGGTGCTGTAGGTTAAGCCGCCTCCTGCAGAGCGGCATCCCCTGAGCATGGGTTCGAGTCCTGACTGCTGTGCACCTGGGAAAGCAGCAGAAGAATGCACAACTCTTAGGCCCTGCCACCACGTCAGGGACCCAGAAGCAGCTCCTGGCCCCTGGCTTGGGCCTGACGCAGACCTGCCTTTGCAGCCATTTGGGGAGTGAACCAGCAGACAGGAGATCTCCCTCTCTCTCAGTCCCTCCCTCCCTCCCTCCCTCTCTCCAACTCTGCCTTTCAAATAAATATATAAATCTTAGAAATACACACACACACACACACACACACAGACAGTAAAGCAGAAAGAGGGGAAGAAGGGCAGCAGGCCCGGGCTGGACCCCCGACAACAGGAGCAGGACTGAAGGAGGTGAGTCAGCGAGTCCCGCCAGACCTCAGGGAAGGCCAAGGGGCTGGCAGTGGACACAGCCGGTGCCACTGGAGGAGACACCGTGCAGATGGTGAAGGGTCAGCACGGACGGGGGGGGGAGGCAGTGACTACAGATCTCGCACTTCTGTGATTACATTGTCTGTACCACTGTCAATATTTTAAGTCTCTTGAATATTTCATACAGTTTGCTTTAACTAAGGATAATTACCTATCTTGTCATCTACCTACCCTGGCATACATGAATTTCAGGACTTTGCAATAAGCTGAAAATAAACAAGACAGTGAGGATGGCAACGCCACAGTGGGCTCCTGGAACATGTCTGGAGAGGGGCCATCAGCACCACACCTCACAGCACCATCCGACATCACCCACGGTGGGTGCTGGTGTCACGCGTGAACTGATGCTCACACCACGCAGTTTCTTATTTTTTGTTAGCATGAAATATAAACACTGCAACATGCTAACATGTTCCGGTGCTTTCTTGCAGTCCTGTGCACCACTGAGGAAGACCTCCTTGCTCTGCACTCTTGTTCCCAGAGGGGTGAGAACTGAGGTCTCCTACTCAGCTGGGTTGGGCTTTTCTACAAACCACAGAGCATGGGGGCTGAAAAGTGACTCATAACACACTCTCTGGGGAGGAATTAGAACCCACTCCAGGGAAGCCATTGGTCCCCGGGAGCAGGGCAGAGAGAACCATCCAGATAGAGGCAATGAAACTGAAACTATAAACAGAACCCAGTTCTGTGCAGTGAGTTTCAAAAAGCAAACACTCCTGGGACTCAAAGACAGTTTCACAAAGTGGCAGGATACAAAATCAACACTCAAAAATCAACAGCGTTTGTATACACAAACGATCCCATGGCTGAGAAACAACTTGTAAGATCAGTCCCATTCACAACAGCCACAGAGAACGTTAAATACCTTGGGATACATTTAACCAAGGAGGTAAAAGACCTCTATAAGGAAAATTACAAAACATTAAAGAAAGAAATAGAAGAAAACACCAAAAAATTGAAAAATCTTCCATGTTCATGGATTAATATCACCAAAATGTCCATACTACACAAAGCAATTTACAGATTCAATGCACTACCAATCAAAATACCAGTGACATTCTTCTCAGATCTAGAAAAAGTGGTGCTAAAATTCACATGGGAACCCAAGAGACTCCAAATAGCTAAAACAATTTTAAACAATAAAAACAAAGCTGGAGGCATCACAATACCAGATTTCAACACATATTACAGGGTAGTTATAATCGAAACAGCCTGGTTCTGGCACAAAAATAGACATGTGGACCTATGGAACAGATTTAAAACCCCAGAAAACTAATCCATGCATCTACAACCAACTAATCTTTGACAAGAGCTAAAAATCACTCCCTGGAGAAAGGACAGGCTTTTCAACAAATGATGCTGGGAAAATTGAATTTCCACATGCGGGAGTACAGAGCAAGACCCCTATCTTATACCCTATACAAAAACCAACTCACAAGGGATCCAAACCTAAGACCTGAAACCACCGAATTACTATAGGGAAACTCTGCAAGACAATGGCTTAGCCACAGACGTCTTGGATAACACCCCAGAAGCACAAGTAATAAAAAGAAAAAGAGACAAATGGGATAACATCAAGCTAAGAAGATTCTGCACAACAAAGAAAACACTTAACAAAGTGAAGCGGCAGTTGACAGAATGGGAGAAAATGTTTGCAAATTATGCAGCTGATAAAGAGCATCCAAACTATATCAGAAGCTTAAGAAACTCAGCAGCAAAACAAACAATCCAGTTAAGAAATGGGCAAAGGATAGGAACAGGTATTTTTCACAGGCTGAAATTCAAATGGCCAACAGACACATGAAGAGATGCTCGGGATCACTCGCCATAGGGACATGCAAATAAAAACCACAATGAGGTTTCACTTGATCCCAGTTAGAATGGCTTTCATCTAAAAATAAAAAAAAAAATGACAAATGCTGATAAGGATGTGGTAGAAAAGGTATCCTAATACACTGTTGGTGGGAATGTAAACTAGTAAAACCATTTTAGAAGACAGTATGGAGAGTCCACACAAATCTGAAAAGTAATCTACCATATGACCAGCTATCTCAACTACTGGGAATTCACCCAAAGGAAATGAAATCAGCATATGAAAGAGTCATCTGTACCCCATGTTTAAAGCAACTAAATTCACAATAGCTAAGATATGCAGTCAGCCCAGATGTTCATCATATGATGACTAGATAAAGAAACTGTGTTATATATACACGATGGAATATTACTCAGCCATTAAAAAGAATGAAATCCTGTCTTTTACAACTGGAGGCCAGTATGCCTCATGAAATAAGCCAGACCCAAAAAGACAAATACCAAGTTTTCTCTGATTTGTAGCAGCTAATATAGAGTACCAAAAATGGAGCTGGCATTGTGGCACAGAGGGTAGAGCCAACAACTGTGATGCCCACATCCCACAGATGGCTGTGGCCAGGTCTCAGAGGGAAGAGGAAACACAGTGAGCAGAGAGGACTGGTGTGTCAGTCCACTTCCCACTGCTGTAACGACATGCCTGAAGCTGGGGACTTCATTAAAAGGGGGCCAGCGTTGTGGCGCAGCAGGTTTATGCCCTGGCCTGAAGCACTGGCATCCTATACGGGCACCAGTTTGAGTCCCAGATGCTCCACTTCCAATGCAGCTCCCTGCTAATGCACCTGGAAAAGCAGTGGAAAATGGCCCAAGTCCTTAGGCCCCTGCACCCACATTGGAGAAACAGAAGAAGGTCCTGGCTCCCGGCTTCAGATCCAGCTGTTGTTGTTGCCATTTAGGGAGTTAACCAGTAGAGAGAAGACCTCTGTTTGTGTGTGCCTCTACCTCTCTCTGTAACCCTTTCAAATAAATTAAATAAATCCTTAAAAAATAAAAACTAGAAGAGCTATGTGTACACACATGATCATAGCGGCATTAACCACAACAGCATAAAGGTGGAAGCAGGGCAGGCATTCATCCCAGGGGTTAAGACACCCACATCCCCTATCTGCACGCTTGCATTCAATATCCAGCCCCAGCTCCCGATTGCAGCTTCTGCTAATGCAGACCCTGGGAGGCAGCCGTGATGGCCCAAGTAACGGGGTTCCTGCAACCCACAGAGGAGATCTGAATTTGATTCCCAGCTTCTGGCTTCAGCCTAGCCCAGCCTCTGCTCTTGTAGGCATCCGGGGAGTGGATCAGCAGATGGAAGCTCTCTCTCATCCTCTTTCAGTCTCTAAAATAAGTGAATTTTTTTAAGTGTGGAAACAACCCAATTGTCCATTAATGAAGGAATGGATTAAAACGTGCAATGGAACATTTCTCAGGAAATTGACATGCACTATGGCATGGATGAACCTTGAAGACCGCATGCTAAGTTAAATAAGCCAGTCACAAAAGGAACTGCAGGATTCCCTCCATGTGAGATTCTTAGTAGTCAAATCAGAGAGACAGACAGGAAATAGCGATTGCCAGAGGCTGGGGAGTTACTTTCTAAAGAGTATAGAGTTTCAGTTTGTGCAGACGAAAAAATGATTCTGGAGATGGATGCTGGTGACGGCCACACAACTGTGAATGCACTTAACATCACAGGGTTACCTGTATGCTTAAAAACACTCCAGTACCTTTATGGTAAGTATATGTCACGCTATAGAAATAATTTGATTGTTTCAACAGTTCTCTCTATAGTGGTTTGTTTGGACAGTAATTCAGTGTCCACACACTATATTTGATACTCGATCACTTTCTTCATTAACGGGTAACAGTTTCCTCTCATCCAGTCCCTTTTTTACCTTTTATTGCTACAGAAACCAAGTTCTTTGGTGTCAATCTGACATGTTCTGGACTGGTAGGCTAAGTTCTTGTCGTGTCATTGAATGTGCCCTTCTGTTTCCCGTGGCCAAGTGCAGACCTAAAGAAGGATGCTGATTCTGGGGTGTGGGCAATGACGCCACTTCAGGAAGCTCTCAGTGTCTGCAAGCCAGCCTTTGCCCAAGGCTAGCAACGATGAGTAGCGACTGTCAGTCAGAGCCTTCCCTCGTAAGGCTCTGCACCGACCTTGCACCGCTGCTCCCACAGCCATGGGTCATCCACAACCGCTCTTCCATTTTGGGGCTCAAAGTGATAGTTTCCTAAGTATCATTCAGCACTCATTAGTCAGAACTCCTCTACAAAGACTACTTTTCTCATCAAAAGTCAGGACAAATGTTTGATGGTTACAGGTTTTCAGAAGGTTATGAGTTCAGTGTCTTGTTTGCTTTGGGAACACGAGCGTTTAATTTGTTTGGGTGGGTTTTTGGTGGTGGTTTGTTCATTGCATTCGTTATTCTTTTTGGTGCTCAAATAGTCCAGTCTGTCCACTTCTGAGTGCTTTTAGCAAAACCCCAATGGGCTTTATTAGCTCCTTTCCAGTCCCCATGATATTCCAAGTGTCTCCCTTGTATATTTCCTGCTTCAGATGTGGAGTCAGCATCTTCGCCAAGGAATCCTAAGGAGTGGAATTTGGAGACCCTAGGCTGGCAGGCAGGGTTCTGACTGCTACTGCAACATCATGGCTTCTAAGCCTCTTCAGTGTCCACACTTGGAACATAATCATTGCTGTTGTTTTGGTCATTGTTCTGTTCTGTTTTAG